ATGTTTTTAGAAGTGTGGGATTTGAGGCTCGAAACAGCTGACCTCAGGCTCTCATAGAGGTCAACTAAGAGTAATTCGCTTAGGCACACTTTGCGATTTTCATGTAAATCCCTAGCTAAAGGAATGAACCTACTAGCTACCTGCAGGGATCTACTGCAGAAAACGTACCTAGACAGCCACAGGGTTAAGAAAGCAATGTGCTCTGTGTCAGACACATTATCCCCTTCAGCATGATAATGGCCGATAAATTTGGAGAAGCTGGCTAACTTGACTTCGAAGTCAATTATGCTTGAGTGCTCTTCATTGTCAGGAACATAAGTTTCCCCCACTGGCGACAGCCCAGTAATGGCTGCTATATCGAAGAAGGTTGGGGTGATCATTCCACCTGGAAGATGGAAAGTGTTGTAGGTACTATCCCAGAAATAGAGGGACGCAAATAGCAGAGGATGACTATAGGTGAATCCAGGTTTCGACAGCTTAATAAGGTTATAAATGCCTAGTTCTTCCCATTGCTGGGATTTTTTGGCTTCTACTTTCGTAAACCAGTTTTGATAAGCAACATCAGCAGTAGGGCAAGATCGGAATGGTTTAAAATTGCTTTTTACATAATCCAAGATAAATGGGTCCTTGGGATGAACAGTTGAGGTTTCTGTGGTATTCGGATTAAGAAATTCTACTGCCCTAGGGGCATCCATTTTGTTGAATAAAGGTTTGAAGTTATAACACACGGGAAAAATGGTCCTGGTGTCCTTTAGTATTTCAAAAACTGTAAGAGGGCCATTTAAGGCTAACCTCTTACCAGCAACATGGGTAGGGATGAGTACCTGTGATGCGTACAACATTTCTTTTTCTTTGGAAATCATTTGAGGAGCAAGAGCAGATTGGCCTTGAATGGTGACGATTTTACTCTCCATAGTTGCTCCTGTAGTTTTTCCCTTCTTCTTGGAGGCTTTCTTGAGTTGAGATGATGTGGAAGAAGACATTTTTGTTGTTTGAGAGCTTAGAGTGTTTATAAGAGAAGAAGAGTAAAATTCCAGAGTTTGAAAGGTTTAGAGTGTAAAGAAGGAAAAAGGAAGGTTAAATTGACGTTTTATAATAAGAAGATGAAACATCCACCGAGTGAAAGTATGATACGTGGAGATCATGGATTGGTGTGATGAAGAGGTGGCGAGAAGTTGATATAGGTAATAGGCGTGATTTTAAAAACAATCATTACTTATAACTGCACCATGCTGTGAAGTGACTTTGGGCGGTTAAGGTACCCAAAGGGTGCTATGATTGATGTGACTAGGGTCAAACGCATTAAATGCTATGATGATTCGAAGATCCTATCAAAATCTTGTATAAATGTTTAAAATAGGTATTTCTCAGAGAGATCGAAATACATATTTTAAAGGGGCAATTTGTTGGCTGAAGATTTTGATAATGTTATTTAGAATTCAAAAAGAGCTAGAAGTTCTGATCGAAATGGAATTAAAACACCACGCTTCGAAATTGCAGAAGCAGTGTTTCGAATGAGTGTGTCAAAGCTTGAAGCTTCGAACGGTGATCTTGGGAGCATATCCAAAGGGATCTCGGAACAGCAGCGAAGCTAAGTCTGAGAAGAGCGTTCGAAGCAGAGAAACACCAAAGCATTTGAAATTTAAATGAAAGCGGGACTTTCAAAGTTTGAAAGTTATGTGTTGGAGCATTTGGGGACACGTGGAAAGATGAAAGGAGCATTGTCTTGCATGTTCGAAACGTGGCATGATCTTGTAGCGAGACCGTTAGGGTCGAATTAGTATAAATAGAAGTCTTAGTGTTAGGATTTCAGTGTGTCATATCTGTTATACAAAATACTCAATAACATTCAAACTACCACATGGCAAGGGAAACGAATGCAAGAGAGATGTATGTATGATAGCACCATGTATTTCTAATTTAATAAAAGCCTTTTTACTATTTCCAGCACTTTCCTTCTTTTTCTTTCTGTCGAATAACATTTACAAGTTTCTTTATCTACTGTCTTTTCATTTCAAAGCCTTTTCTTCAAAGTTTTACATTTTACTGCATTCTTTATATTTCGAAGCACTCTATATTCCAGAGAACTTTTACGCTCTCAATACCTTTACTTTCAAGTATTATTCTTCAAGCATGTACTTTCACTTAAAGTCATTTCTAGATTTCTTGCATTAAACGCTTTCTTCACATTTTAAACTTCCACATTCCAGAAACCTTTTATGTTAAATGTTTTATGGGTCGAAACCAATTACTTCATTTTCCATACAGTTTTATATGTCTTTTCAATCAGCATTACAATTAGCAATCATTCGTATAACTTAGTTTTCACATACATTTTGACCATATTTTAAACTCTTAGAGAGAGGGATCGAAGTAAACCAAACATTTGTACAATGGCACCCATGAATAATTGCTCGATTGTGAGAGTAACCTTGATATCCAAGGAGTCCTAGGATCAATCTAGTCGATCCTGTGAGTTACCAAAGAGATTGAGTAGCGTTAATAAAGATTATTCGATAGTTTGGAAGACTAGCGGTTGTTTACCAGAAATCACTGGAAACACCCCCATAAGCCGAACCACTAATCCTCTCTCTATCTTCAACCTCGAAAACAAATGCTTGAATCGACCATGAGTTAAAGTTTGATAATTCCTTGTTAAGACAGATTGTGACTATATTAAATCTGTTTTCACATGACAAAATCAAATCGCAATCAGCATAATTTCATTTTACGTATCAATGTATAAAAATTAAACTGTGAAACAATCCGTCATTCAATTTGTTGATTGGTCCCCTACTGATTCAAGTGTGAAATCAATTATCAGCCTCCATATCCATACATATTCCAAAAGAAGAACCGATTAAATCAAGAAAATAAATACAAAAATCTCAATTAGATACAAATAAATATAATAGTAAGCAAAATAAACAACAAAATTGATGAGAATATACTGCCTTCTTTTATCAAACATGTGATGGGAGAAATTGAAATTTAAATAGATTAATAATAAATTGAAAGAGGAGGCAAAAGAAATAAGCTTCTATCTATTTGGAGAATCAATCGTAAATATATATGTGTGAGCTTTGTATTCACCAAGACTAACCAAATAAAAAAAGGCAAAACTCAACCTCATATTTTAATTAAAAAAATTAAAAAAATTGAGAAATAAAATCTGAATAAAAAAAACATACCTAACAGCAAAAAATAAACAATATCATGGTTGTGTTGTTCGTCACATGCAAGCCCAAAAATCCTCTTCTGCAACTCTCAAACCTAAAGATAAAGATATCCCATTTTAGGTGTCAAGTTAAGTTTTTTTTTGGAAAAGGAGAAATAGTAAGACAACCCTAAAAACGAAAAGATATTCCAAACTACATTTCAGTTTCAACTTTCAATCACATGTTTCAATCACTCACCTTCGTCACTTACATATGTATGAATCAAATTAACGTTAAAAATTGCATTTGAAGGAAATTCTTTTATAGATCTATAACGGGTGTTGTTGGTTATTGATGTTGTTGAGATTCAGAGGTCTTGGTTGCGACCACCATTCTTACGCTTGAACGTCTGAAACAAATAAATTAACAGGTTAGGATGAGAATATTAGATGGTTGAGATTACAACGAAACGAAATTGGTAGCAACAAAGAGAGAAGAATGAAAAGAGATGGAGCGGCGCAGGAAGAAGATGAAATTAGGTTTTCTGATTTGTGTTTTAATAGAGTTGGGTGAATGAGTTATTTGTTGAATTCAAATTCTGTAAAAAAAAAAACATTGGAATTCAAATATAAATAAATTAACCGTGAATGAAACATTGGAATTGGAATTCAAATATAAATAAAATTCAAATATAAATAAAATAAATTAATAAATCAAATAAATAAAAAAATAGTATAAAATTATGATAGATTGACATGTCAGCAAAATTAAATGCCAAATGAATATGGTAACAGCATAGTGTTGATTAGTCTATTATACCATTGGAATAAGAAAAGTTATAACATCTAATCAAAATGTTATACTTGGAATTTCCAGATACTTTACTTTTAATAGATTGATAATAGATAGATTTAGAAAGTAGCACAAACAATATGATGCTTTGAAAATATTATTATATAGAAATCAAGACAGTTTTAATATTATATTTTACCATAATCATAATTAATTAATATATAGGAAGCAGTAAAACTATAATTCCACCATGATTAATGTCACTTAGAATACTGAACCACTTAGAAAACTATAATCGATTGACTATTTTAAATTAATAATTATTTAATTTACATAATAATTTTAAACTATAATCGATTGACTATTTTAAATTAACAATTATTTAATTTACAGAATGATAGTCATGATGGATTATGGATAACAGTTACAAAATTGACAATGAATAGGAGGTGTTGAAAAGACATGGAATGGAACTGCGTTGTGGGGAGTGTTTAGGAGAATATGAAAATCTGAAATAGAGATCAAAGAAAATATCCACGTAAAATGTTTTTGAAATAAAAAGACAGTGAGTAAAATGAATTTTGTTATATTATTGATAATTGTGACTATTTTTTTATCAATTATAATAACATAATAATGAGAAGAAATAATTTTTTTATGGAGATATTAGAGTTAGTGAGATTACTTATTACTAATTAAAAAAAAGTTAATTAATTATTATTAATGATTAGTTATTAAGTATATTATATGATTATAAATAAGTATGATCATTTTTTTTGACGGAGTAGATAAGCATGATAATGATAATGATGGTACGATTTTTATGATGAGTTGTAGATATTCTGTAACCGTTCTTACTCTAATAAAAATCTTCTCCCACCATTTACCGTACTTCTTGACTAACCTTTCACGATTTCGTTCAGTTATTTTCATTTTGATATTAAAAAGGAAAATAAAATATATCTTTTATTACCAAAAATTCGTCTATAAATAGCAGTAGTATCAGTGCAAGCATTGTATAGTTGAAAATAAAGCGAAAAGCAAGAAAGCATGAGTCGTGGAAACCAGAAAGAGGTGAATCATTTTCTTCCCATTTCATTTACAAATCGTTTCGTTACTGAATGCTTGTTTACGAGATTTTCTTTCTATCTGTATGTAATTCTGCATTTTCCGACGACTTATGATCTTCCCGCGACTGTTCGATGCATCTTCCAGTCACTGTTCAAGGCCCCTTCCGGTGACAGTTCGATGCATCTTCCAGTCACTGTTCGATGCGCCTTCCGGTGACTGTTCGACGCATCTTCCAGTCACTGTTCGATGCGCCTTCCGGTGACTGTTCGACGCATCTTCCAGTCACTGTTCGATGCGCCTTCCGGTGACTGTTCGACGCATCTTCCAGTCACTGTTCGATGCGCCTTCCGGTGACTGTTCATGCATCTTCTGGTGTCTATATTTGCATCGTCAACATTTGTTTTTGATTTTCTTTATTTCCGATTTTACATTTTTCTCCGGCGACATGTGCACTCTTCAGTTACGTTTTTATGTGTCTTGGTTTGTTTCTTGTTTCTTCCCGATTTTACATTTTTCCGGCGACTTGTGCAGTTTCCGTATAAGATTTTATACTCCGGTAATACAGTTATTGCTCGTGATGATTAGCGATTAATTTTTGCCTAACTGTTTGTAAGTGTCTGATGCAGTTTTTTTTAGTACAAGTTGTGTGATTCTGTTACGAAAACCGTGGATTGGATTTAAGCGTAACTGTTTTGCTTCCTAAGTAATAATTACTATACGTAAATATTAGTTACCGAAAAAATGACGATATTGAGTAGTAGAGATATTGACTCTATTATTCGCTATTTTTATGATAAAGAACATATTGCGGTTAATTTGCTATTAATTCATATGCGCCTAACTATTTTTATGTTAATTTGCTTATTATTTTATTTGTTTATACACAATGCTTTGTAGCACACAGGCTCACACACAAATGACTGTGTAATTGGAAATGTTTAATATCATAATTCTGTTTTGCAGCGTTACTGTACTCTCGAGTTCGATGGTGCATCCAGTGGAAATCCTGGAAAATCTGGTGCAGAAGCTGTACTGCGTTCTGGGAATGAGGTGTACACTTTATGTATCAATTCATATTTGTAACTATATACTATAAACTAGATATCAAATGTAGCTAAATCTTGGATTTCTTTAAAGGTCCATCGCTTCAGTCGAGGACTGGGCACTCAAACAAATAATTCTGCTGAGTATCAAGGTTTAATTTTGGGATTGAAAGAAGCCAATAACAAAGGGTATGATCATGTTGAAATCCGAGGTGATTCCAAGCTTGTCTGCGAGCAGGTTAGTTTAGTTCTTCTAATTGTTTACGAAATATCTTCCTTTTTATAAGGAATTTACCATGACATTTTATTGCTATATAAAAATTTACCCTAATATTTTATTGCTTTTGCAACAGTTTGCAGGTAAATGGAAAGTCAATAACCCGAATTTAAGAGACTGCGTAATAAGGCTTTGGACTTGAAGGATAATTTCAAGTCAGTCACTGTTGAACATGTTCCTAGGGTATTATCCTCTGCTCTATTTTGTTTATTGACATAATGAAATAATGTTTCTCAAATTGCCATCTTTCTTAATTGGATTTTGATCTATGGCACCACTGTCATTAGTCCTGTATATTTTCCCTTATTTTATGGTAATTTTAACAAATGCCTTTCCTTTTTTTTAATGTTTTAAGGCTTAAATTCTAATGGATCTTATATTTTTGCAGCTGGCCAAGTTCAAGAAGACTATTACTACTACTGATCATCTGTGACAGCATGCCACTATCAAAAACTATTGGCAACTATGTTACTTTTTTGTTTCCTGCATTCTGTTTGCAATTTGAACATTTGCTTTAGTGCTGCGGGCTTAAATGCTACTTTTAATGTTTATGTTTGGATGTTATGTGAATGTTTTTGAATTTACTATTTTCTGCCTTCATTTGTTTGTTTAGATTTTTTAATCTTATGTGATGACACTTATTTTTCTGTTTGATGTAATGAGACCCCAAAAGTAACATGTTCAAACATATCCATCCTACTTTGAATCTTTGACTAAGACGTAAGTAACATTTACAAAGATTTCACTGTTCAAACATATTCATTCCACTTTGAATCTTTGGTTAAGACGTAAGTAACATTTACAAAGATTGGTTAAGACGAAAGTAACATTTACAAATTTTTCACTGTTCAAACATATCCATCCCACTTTGAATCTTTGGTTAAGACGTTTGTTTGTACTTTTTTGAACATTCTCTTTACACAAGATGGGATATTAAAACACTTTACCGAGTTTATTTAGAAAATTCATATTTATCAAGCACTTGATTTTAAAATAAAAAACTTATATAACTCTTCCAAATTTCGAACATTCAATCTAGTTGTCCATGGCGATGGAGGTATGAAGAGTTTCAAATGACTATGTATTGTATAATGTTGCCCTCTATAATTGATTTGTAAAAAGTTGCCCTTTATAAATGACTATGTTTTGTATCTATGTAAAGTACAATTGTTAACCATTATAACCTCTCATATATCAATATATTATACTTTATCTCTATTTAGAATTTTGTGCAAACTTTTTTTTGTGTGTTGCCATCTACTTTTACCTAAAATCCCCAAATTTTTGAACGACACTTTTGTTGTACACATTATAATATTATTATTGTTTTCAAGACCAACAGTTCACACTATTTCATATGATTAATGTTTCATCTTCTCAAAATATTCACTTTATATTGGTGAAACATTAAAAATTTAGATTTAAGATAAACCTACAACTTTTCAAGAATCCAAATGCAATTTATATGACGAGGTTAGACTTTTAATTAATTATTTCGCACCATGTTGGTTTAACCAATATTATAGGTATCTATACCACATTTACTTATTCTTTTTACAATTTAACAATAACACAATAGCTAGCACGTTTGCTAAGTGTTATTGCACCCTAAAATTTACCTTCTTATCTTTTGATCTAATTGGCTTATATTTCTTTAATATACATTTATTCATTGGGATGAGATTAAGGTGTTCTTGTCTTCATGGTTCTTTTCAAGCCCTAGAAGAGAAAATTTTGACAATCAATGAAAGGAGGATCAAATATCCTCGTTTTATTGAAGATTTGTTTTTAAAATATGAGATTTTGAATGGTTTTAGTTCTCATCAGACTAAGGAGGATACTTTAGGAACATTGATTATTTAACATTATTTATTTTGTTTCATAAAAAAGCATCTTGGAGACTTTTTAGGAAATTTTATATTTGTGTTCCTATTTTTGTAGAGAAGATTTTACAGAAGATTTATAGCTTGAATATTTGATTTGCGTGAAGAGTCCAAACTTATGCTTTCAAGAGTCTTTTTATAAGGACTTTCTAAATCAAAAACACTTGGAGAAGCTGTGTGCATGAGATAAGGGTTTAGGGTTTTAGTTTGTTCTTTGTTCATTGTGATCCACTTCTTATCACTTTAATATTAGAGTTGAATTGAGTTTTAGTTGTTATTTGTCAATCACTCATAAGCTTTTAAGCAAGAGTGGATTGTAGGTCAAGTTACCTTTGTTCTTCATCCAAAAGCTTTTAAACAGAGTTGATTGTTTGTCTTTGAAGAAGTGCTCTTCTACTTTAGTTATCATTGTTAGTTTGTCATTGGTTTGTGACTAAAAGGAAGTGAGGGAGATCTCATATCTAGGAGGGTCTTAGATAGAAATAACACGAGTAGTGATTAGGTGATAAGTTTGTAAAACAAGGGTTGTTTAAAACTTCAAACTAATACTATTTTAATGTGTTTCCTTCCTGACTTGGATGCCTCCAGAGTAGGTGATGTTGCACCAAATTGGTTTAACAATTGATTTATGTTCTTTACTTTTTGCAACTTATTTTACTTGTATAATTGTTTTAGTTGTTGTGATTGATCTGATAGCAGTGTTGTGATATCTAGTTCGACATCTGATATATGTGTGCCAAAATTTCAGTTGGATTCTCGAATAGCTACGATAATGTTACCAAATTGAGAGGTTAACATACGCATTACCTTATTAACTATCATCTTATCCGTTAGGGTTTCACCATAACCCTTCATGAGATGGACAAGGTTAAGCATCTTCGACACACGGGTAGAATGAATTTTCTTATATTATAGATAACTAGTATGACACCCGTGCATTTGCACGGGTACCGGCCTGACACTCTCATTGAACTAAGCAGAGTTCATTTAGAAAGAAAAAATAATCAAATTTTATGATATTATCTATAATAAAAAATAACTTAAATAAAAGAATAATTTAATTTGTAAAATTCTATTTTGTATTGTTAGTTTGTGCAATGAGTATAAATCAATAAAATGGAATAGTTTTAATTAAATAAATAATGTAAAATTTAAATAGTAACAAAAACATATCATTCTTATTTATATTATTTATACTGTTTCACTTGAGTATAAAGTGCAAACACATATAATTTTTAATCAAAATATTTTGGTAAGATATATTTAATTTGCAAACTAAATACTTATATATTTAATATGTTAGATACCTTTTCATTAATATTAGTTTCTCAGCAAGTCTCTAGATTTTCTGGTGCAGACGGAATTTTCTCTTTAGTGGGATTCCTGTGCGTTCGCACGGGTACCGGTATGGTGTGCGCATTTGTTTTCAAAATATAATAAAAGTAAAATCAATTTTTTTAAAAGAGATAATAAATCAGTGTCTATAATTCTTTCAATATATAAAAATATTTGAATCAATAACATATATGTTATTTATATATAAATATTATTTTTGTTTTGGAATTATTGTCCAAAATATTTAAACCAATAATAAAGTTGTTCTATTATTATTCAATATTTTGATCAGTAACTTTATGTTTCCGTTAATATTTAATAGTTTGATCAATAACTTCATGTTTTCGTTATTATATAATATTTTGATAAATAATTTCATGTTTCCGTTAATATTCAATAGTTTGATCAATAAGTCTATGTTTTCGATAATATTCAATATTTTGATAAGTAACTTTATGTTTTCGTTAATATTCAATATTATGATCAGTAACTTCCACTACAAGAAATATCATCTCCAGCCACGTGATTTTGCCACGTGATTTTCATGTGGCTAAAAAAATCCAGTTGCGACGTGAAGATCACGTGACAACATATTTTATTAATAAAATAAAGAAGCCTGATGGTTGTCTGGCTTTTTTTATAAAAAAAAATATGTTGCGACGTGGGATTCACGTCGCTACTAAAAATACAATAAAAAATAATTTAATTGGTCTAACGTTCAGATGGTTGTCATTTTGAAATTTTGAAAAAGTAAGTTGCGACGTGTTTTTCACGTCGTAACATTTAAGAGGGGAAAATCAAATCATTACAGACTGGCGTGTTCAGGCTTTGAAGGCATGTGAAGAAAGAGAATATGACTGTTGAGATGGTTGCGACGTGAAAATCATGTGACAATGTTGCGGCGTGATTTTCACGTCGCTAAGTGCTTTATATATTTATTTCAATCACGCTCCACAGACAGATAATATTGTTATATTAGAATAAAAACTCTTCTTCTTCAACCCTCTTCTCCTCATTCCATCCCTCCATAACCATTTTCTTCTTCATAAAATTTCTTCTTCTCCAATATAAAATCTCTTCAATCTCCATTAATTCTTGTTTTAAGGTAAATTCAATTCAAATTTGTCTCTATTTTGTTAACAAATTTTTATTTATTGTATTATGGGATGTAATTTTTTTAAATTTTTCTTTGAATAGAAGAAGATTGATTGAAGTAGATTGCAAAAAGGTTGGACAAGAAGATTGAAGGAGTTAGAAGATAAGAGGTATTTCTTGGATTTTTTTTTTTTTGAATTTAGTATATTTTCTGAATTTAGTTAAATTTTAGGTTGAATTTGGGTTAAATTATAATATTGTAATTTTAATTGAATTTGGTTGAATCTGATTTTATTTAATTTATAAAAACAGAATAAAAAATATTTAATTTGTTAGGAATAATAATATTAATCATTTTTATTATTTAATTTATTTTAAATTTAAAAATAAAAAAGATTATATCGTTATTACTTTATATTTTATATCTTTATAACCATTTAAAATTTAAGTTGATTATATTCTTAGGGGTATATAATAAAAATTTAGTAATAAGTAAATTAATGTTACAAAATAAATAATAATAAATATAGTAATTAGTGAAAAACACAAATAAATAAATAAATTGTGATGAATACAATAGTTATAATTATTAATTTATGTAGTAACTTAGTGAATAATAAAAATAATAACAATAGTCATTTTAATCATTTGCAATTTAAAAATCAAAAAGATTTTATCCTTATAAGTTTTTATTTATCTATTATCAATCTATTAAAAGTAAAGTACCTGGAAATTCCAAGTCTAACCTTTTGATTAGATGTTATAACTTTTCTTATTCCAAGGGTATATTTGTAACTTTCTGAAATACTTGCACCATATTGATTTGACAATAAATATGGCTGATGTGTCACACTATGGTTTTTTCTGCCACTTTTTATTTTTTTTAATTATTTCTAACTAACAACAATTATGCCATTTTGTTTATATTTACACGTTATAATCACACCTAATTATGTGCTACATACCACTTCCCAAAACCCTCATCCAAACCAAAGGTCATTCAATTTGAAATTTAAATTAAAACACTCATATTATAGCTGCTACGTACACTGGGTTTTGAAATTCTAATTATTCCACTAAACCCTAATCACGTTTTTTGTTGCAAGATTT